CCCCAAACCCTCTCCTGTCAATCTGCGTTTCCCTCCTTAAATCCCAGTCATCACCCCTTGCATTAGGGAAGACGGCTGCATGACTGACAGCAGGAGCGGGGGGGAGCGGGGGGGTGCCACTATGCAGCTAAAAATAACCCTAAATTAGAGGTGCTGCGTGTAGCCCTGTACCCTTCAAGCACAGCTACTTGCCCCCCCTCTCTGAGTTGCCTTTTCCGTCTGTAATCGATCTAATGTGGGATCAATCCATCCCTGCATGCGGCACCCTGGTCCGCTGCACCGAGCTCCTTCTGGCAGCCCCTCCTCTTCCTCCTGTGGGAATGCGAGTCGGGGGTGTTCATCAGAGCCTCTCTCCTCTGCCACCGCAGCAGCTCTACCAGATCCAGCAGGTGACCATGCCGGCGGGACAGGACCTCACGCAGCCCATGTTCATCCAGTCCACCAGCCAGACGGCGGACGGTCAGGTGACCGCGCAAGTTAGCGCAGACTGAAGCCCCTCCCAGTGACCGGAGATAACCCGCAGCGCAATAACACACTGGTCTGAACCCCCACCTCATAGACCAAAGCCTGCTCATCCGAGTCCAGCTCAAACCTGCCCCCAGCTTCTTAGCCACCCCCCCACACACACCTGTGTTTGGTCAGTGTCTTTTTCCTCTTCTATCTGCTGTCCCTTTGGCTGTTGACTTCCGTGACTCCACCTGTCCCCATCGAAGTGTACAAACGTACCATGCCAACTGTCACGCTTCCATTTTATTGTTATAAAGCGATTGAGCCATAAATGTGATTTGAAAAAAACAAAACAAGGAGCATTGTAAATTCCACTGTGAGATTCACTGTGATTCTTAAGACATCAGTTGTGTTCCCATTGTTTACACTACCTAGTGCGCAGGATAAGCCTGGTCTCATGGAGGTCTGCGTGTGTGTGTGTGTGTGTGTGTGTGTGTGTGTGTGTGTGTGTGTGTGTGTGTGTGAGTGTGTGTGTGTGAGTGCACGCACGTACGTGCGTGCGTTCGGAGCGCTACATCTTTAAGATCTTTTTGCGTTTCACTTTATGCCGTAAAAACCTTCCTCTGGACCAGGTAGCAGATCAGGAATACTGCCATCCATTCTGGAGGCATCCCCGTCTCTCATCTCATTCTCTCTCTCTCTCTCTCACTTTCCTGCTCCCTTCCGAGTTGTGTAAAAACACAGCCTGTCCAGGAACAACGTTTTTATACCATCGTTTCATTTATAAGAATTCATAAGTGTAACGTAGATGTTTTTTTCTTAGTATTGTAATTTTTCCCGAAATTTATTTGCCCGTTATTGTATGATAACTATTGATCTTGTTGTTTTGCATGTAGTTAAAACAGCCAGCATGATATGCAATAGATAGGTACCGATATTTTTTGTGGTTAATTTTTGTAAGCAAAGTTATGTTGTGAGAAAACGAAATAAATAATAAAAATGTCGACATTTCCTGATTTGTGGCTTTGTCCGGTATGTGTAATGTGTTGTGAAACCTTATATATATTTGGTACTTTTAGGACGGGTGTTTTCAACTTGGGGTAGTATCATCTGGGTAAAACAACCCGAGAGATGGATACGGGGGCCCTACCGGTCTTGGGGGTCTCTGTTATGAAGGTCACACTGCGCGTGGAGCCTGAACACGTGCTGTGCCCCCCAAGCAGAATAATCATTTGGGAAGTGGATGGACAAATATTGTTCCGTAGCCTTTATTTGCGAATTAGTAGCCTATCACTGTTCATTTCTGTGTACGACAAAGAATCTATTTTAGGTTACTCATTATTTATTCCGTGAATATTAAAATATTAATGCTGCTCTCTGGCAGTAAGTGTATTTGTTTATATATAATGAGAATGAACATTGTATGTATATAACATGAGACAAATATAAATATTTCCTTGCTTTTCGGAGGATAAAGCGATTGTTCAACGTGCTAGTTCTCCCGCATTTGAATTTGGCATGACATTATACGCGCTGTTTAGCTTTTCACAAACGTTTTCGTTCGTCGACATGTAGGTCATAATACAAGTCTTGCATCACTTTGTTCTGGTTTTGCAGGGCAAACAGCGGTAGTCTGCAAACTACCTGGAATTCTATAACAAGAGTTTTGCGCCAGGACTGGGGAGGCAGATTCAGCCGAAGGGTTTACACTGCTGTAGCTGATACCGGTGTTGACTGATGGAAATACGCCCCCATTTTCAGTAACCTCTTCTCTATACTTGCCAGTCTATTGCAATGCTGTCAAAAATAGCCTGGACACGTACAGTATATAGCATTCCCGGTCAAAACCAAGGGCAATTAAATCTATGGAACATCACTTAGACATATGTAAAGTGAAGGCCATTAGCCATCACATATACGCCGGAACAGTATGAACAGTGGGCGTATATGGACGAGACATGCGTTCAAAGAGGGATCATATACAAAAGCTGCCGGGGGGAGATGCGGTCCCAATCTGAATGACGGCGCTTTCTGCCAATATTCCATCCATCCATCCATGCACTTTCTTCGTTGTTTTATTATCTAGTAACTATGAAGTTTCAACTACTTTAGGGTGACCAGATAATCCATGTCAGGGAGGACACTCTGAGCTAGGACAGGAATTGTAAATTACCATTTCAATTAAACGGACCTGGATTTCACTTGAGCACTGAGTTCTTGCTGTGTGCTGATTGGTCAGTCTCCTATAATCATGCAT